GGGAAGACATGATGAAGAGAAAGAAGTGACACAAAGTGGCAACTGTGATCCACTGGGCATCGCAGCAAGTTGGTGCCATGTCAAACAGCAGCACCAAGACAGGCAAGAGCACGTCAGTGCTTGTCTAACATATTTACATTGTCAATGAGCTGCAGCTTGACAAGAAAGAGCAAAGGGTGAAATTCCATGCACAGATCCATGAAAAGCAAGCAGCAATGACAGCTAACATCTGCTGGAACTAAAATGTTGCTGGCTCAGCCAACAGGACCCCCTAACTTAGAGATGGCTAGCAGTCTTGCAGTTCAGACAATGTCAAAGTTTGAAAGAAGGCAAAAATGGAAAGCCAGAAATTACAATGGCTCTGAAGAAATTCTTATCAGTATGGCTGAAGTCTGCAAAATACAAGCCAAAGAGAAAGATATGGTTTGGAAAGTAGAGATTTCAATGCAGCTTCTTTGCATCCTTTTTCCCTCCAAAAATAATCTTTTCTCACTCATTTGGTCAAACAGAAATAGTGAGGAGTGACATGGAAATCTGGGAGCAGCAATACATGCCCCATGAAGAAAAATGAAGCCACTACGTAGAAAAAATGATAATACTCATCATGTCTCTAAGGAGACCTGTTTGCAGATCTCTGACAAGAAATTAAGACTTGACACTCCTAACAAGTGGAATCTGTATCTCTGTGTTTGTGTGCGCATGAATGTAAGTTTTTACTAGTCTTGTTGATAGGCTGGGAAAGCCCTAAGAGTGCAAGGCATACTTGAAACTGATGCACTGTGCTAATCTAAACCCTCTGATGAGCCTGTTCTGCTCAGATCAGGCTGCATCACTGCATGTAATGACAGAGAAGCATATGCCCATAAAAACCCAAATGAATGTGCAACACGCACATCTGTGGAGCTCTTAAAGTTGCTTTGGATGTTGGAGGAAAGCAGCTGTTTACCTGTTCATTTCCAGAAAGTGGTGAAACTGAGAAGTCTAACAGCACAAAATAATTCACAAGGTCTACCTAGGAAACATCTGCAAACCCCTGAAGATGAATGACCCTGCATTCTGTTTTAATATATTTTTTGAACTTCAAAAATTGCCAGTTTTAACATGTACTGAATTTAAGAGTTCTGTTCCTTGAAAATGAGTACTCAGTTAACTTAAGCACATCCACTATTCCAGTGTGCAAATGGGATAACCTTACCTGAGAAATTTTCCGATGAATTATCTACCCACAAGTATTACCCACACCTTCTCCTTGGACTGAAACCTGCAGGCAAGCATAGCAACAATCTTTCAAGAAAGCCACCAACTCAATCTTGCTTTAGTCTGGGTACCAGCATACAGACATACTTTTCAGGACTTGTTTCTCTCATTCTGTATCAGGCTAAGTGTGAATACCAGTCTGAGGTGCAAATCCCAAGCTCTTCTTTTCACATGTGTGCGCTCTGTGTTTTAGCAGGCTCCTCCTGCCACTACAAAAAGCCTCCAGAGAGCACTGCATAAAATGGTGGAGCATCTGGCAAGTGGCTGTTGGCCTGGGGCTGGTCACTGCTCTTTTAGGAGAAGGACAGGCTTTCCTGGGGAAGCTATATGAAATGCTGGCTTGAATATCACTCAGAATCATCTGGAATGGTCTGATGACCATTATCTCAAATGGTGCACAATGGCTGAAGTTGTTGCCTTCTCTTCCCTTCTCTCCTGCTGTTGTCCTACCAGGTGATGCCCACACACTTGGCAAGTGCAAAAGGACTTTTACCAGCCTTTCACAGTGCACTGTCAAGCCCATGCTAAGACAGCACAGGTGTTTTTCATTCCTTACCCAGCTTCAGAGAAGTGAAAGTTTGTGCAACTACTTGATGGGGAGAACTGTGTAAACTCATTACACAAAAATACTGCAAGTCATGCACTGCTGAGGAGATGTCTCTGAAGCACAGCTCCTCTTCTAATGCACTAGGCATTAAGCCTTTGCAAAACAAAGTAAAACAAATTAATAAATCATTAGGCAAAGTATTTCCAGTGGCTTTTCTGAACTTTATTCCTTCACTTGCTATGTATCACTTAAGTGGCCTGTTACTGTGCTCTGCTCTGCAGTTCATGACTAAAATAGAAAGGCTGCAAAGCTGCAGGGAAGATACTGATGGATGGCTCTGCAAATTGCTGCAACTGAACCATAAAACTGTCAAACAAATGATACATGTTAGTTGTGATGGCCCTATGCCTCCCAGAAATAAAGTGAATCCCTAATGGAATAATTTGGTAAAGAATTAAACATTAATTAGGGCTTATACAAGATGGATATAAAAGAGAATACAGACAAACTGTAGGTTTGCTGTAGCAATATTAGAATGAAAGCCAGAGTGTTTATTTCTGAACTTTGGTTTCTTGACTGATTATGAGCAATACAGACTTACAGCTGAAGAGATCATATGGCAGAGGAAAACATCCTTATTCCGTGTTTTGAAAGGGGTTGTGGCCCAATGTCATTTGCTTTCTTTACCTGCTGCAAGTACTTACATTCTCTATTATTGATATGGTCCCTAACTGGAAGAGCTTCCAGTGGGTTGCCACATGAGCTTCATGTGATGGCCACAGGAGGTCTAATACAGAGATTAAGGCTATGCTTGGTGTCAAAGTGGCAATAGTTTTGTAACAGACACATAAGTTTAATAGAATACACTTGAGTTGACTTGTTTAGGCAAAATGAGCCAATAAAAGCTTTTCAAAGGACTCAAAAAGCAGCCATTCTGATTTTTCTAGAGGACTTCACAATTTGTTATTATTTTTGCCTCTGTCTTTCTACAGCCCACACAAAACATCAGTTACAGTCCATGTCCCGTGGAACAAAGTAGTAAGAATGCATGAATGAATAAATCCTGTGCCTTCCTATTTTTGAGGCAAGCTTCCAAATTTGTATTAATTAATATGTTAACTAGCATTTGACCTGAACTTAAAGTTCAAACCATGAGCCATCATTGATACTACTGCAACCAGTATCATAGATTCCCAAAACTTGTTGTTAGACCAAATACAGACAACTTCAACTCTAATTTGAAAAAGAAAAATGTCTCTTGGATTGTGTTTACCAAGCATTATGAAAAATGATAAGTTAACTGACCAATTAAGAATAGATAAACAAATAATAAATACTTGTCCTGGATCAGCTGCAAAACAGAAGCTGACACAAATCTTGTTGCAACTGGGAGCACCTGGAAACAGTAACCACAACTCCAGAATATGCTCTTTTGTAGCTATGAGTTACAGAATTCAACCTCCACTTGCAGTACCATGAAGTGCAATTCAAGGCTGTGAAAGCACTAGTTAATGTTATTTGAATGATAGCACACAGCACTACCACTGTTGGACCACAGAATTTAAAAGTTTCCCTGCTGCTCTTTAGCTATTCCCACTCATGCAGAAGACAGTGCTGACAGAAGATAAAACAGATTAAACACCCATTCTGATTCAGACCCAGTACACACAAGGAGTCAGAGTTGCAGACAGTGTAGTTTCCTCCTACAAGGGCCAAAACTGATGTGCACTTCTGCATGGCACTTCTGAGGCCATGACCCTCTGCTGCTGCTGCACTGCTACCAAAATTACTCTGTTCCCTAGCACAAGGTCTCCAATGAAAGCTAACTCAACAGGGTTCTGCCTGGTCCTTATACAGGCATGAATCCTCTCTCTTCCATCCCTGTAGACATGTTTTCCTTTCCATATTCAGAACTGAGCTCCTGACAATCGAGCTCTTCTGAAGTGCTCTATCTGCTTCTGGACATTCACATTTTTGTGCATCTAAAGGTAGAGGTGATGGTGAAAGAAAGTTGTGTTTTTTCCCCTTCTATCTTCAAGGTTATTCTGCATGAAAAGGTTTTGTGTGTAAGTACAGAGACACTTCTGCTAAGCAGAGCAGAAAAGTGAAGTAAAAAGAACAGGCCAGAGCCCTGTTTCAGCTGCATGTTTGTGACAGCAGCAGAGACAGTTTCAAAAAAGACAATGTTGGCCAGAAGACTTTCCAGGAAATTGTCATGTCTGACATGGGACAGAACCATCTACACAAGTTCACAAGTTGCCTGAGAAGTTCTAGACCATCAACAATTTGAGGAAAAGCCTTGTAGATGCTCCCAGTCAAGAAGAGCATGAGTAAGAAACAGGATATTGAGCGTGCTCTGCTAAGGAAGCCCTGTAAATAGAGATTACAACAAAAGGTGAATCTTTTACCTGTGCATGAGACTTGGAGAAGTTTACTAAACACTATTTCAATGTTTCAGCTCTTTTTGTATGCTCTTGGCAAAGAACACTGTGGAAAACAATTTCTCTCCCACTGCCCACCCTGTGTGCTTATGCTAGTTCTAAGAGCAATGACAGTACCAAAGACTGCCCAAGATTTGAGAGACAAATCTGTTCTTCTCTCCATAGTCTCCCTTCCTCAAAGCAAGAGGTGAAACATGCTCAGACCATAGGTAAATACATGCAAACCCTCATGCCACCAGAAGATCTAAAAAAGTTGAAAAGAGAAGTGACTGCTGTGGCGTGCCACACAAATTGTATGTTTTGTCCCAAGGAGCTGATGCAGCCAAAGAGGAAACAGAGGAGATAAGGTGGCTTATACAACGCAGTACAGTCTCTCCTATACACGACCAGTCATACAGACGTACAGAAGGCCAGCACCATGCAACTTCAACGCCATTTCTGCCGGTACCCGTGCAACACTTCTTCCCACACAGCGCACGTAAAGGATGACGTCAGATCATGCTTCCCTCACGCGGTGCTCACGAGAGACGCAGGAGCGGCAGCAGCAATAACCCCATCACCGCACAGCAACGCCAGAGCGAAAACCGCCCCACCACGGGGCTCCACGGCCGAAACACGGAAGTACGCGAGAAGCGAGCTGAGGCGCTGCTGCCACGGCTGA